GGTGCTTGTGTCCTGCATATAGCCAAAAAAATGAGGAAATCTTAATATTTTCTTTAAAAAATACATGTATTCCCTTTTTTGGCTGCTGTTATGTACTTACCTTGTCAGCTCATTTCTGCTTTAATTACTGTGAGTGCAGTTCTCACTTCTTTGGGGTGGTTTCTTCAATAAAATGAGAAAACTTCAGTTTGATTCAGTAAAAATCTTATAGCCCTTTCCCCCAAAGCTTGGTGATTCCTTCACAGCCCTTTCAGCATCAGCACTCCTACTTGATCTCGTTAAAAAAGCTTACACGACTAAGTCTCCATCGCCCGCTAACGTGATCCGGCTGGATGCTGCCTTCTCCTTGATGACTCCATAACCTTCAGGGTGGGTCAGGCATGGGCACAGCTGCATGCCTGGTGCTCCAAAACAGATGGTTCACGGGGACAGAAATATAAACTGCTCTGTTGTTGTGTCGGGAAGAGCGCACCTCTGACGTTGCCGTTGCAGTCAGAAGTCATCCCATCAGGTTTTAGTTAGGCTCACTAGGTTGTTGTCTGCTATTTGGTACTTTTTTCCTCAGCTGCTGGGCTCCCCACGACTGTGTGTGGAAGTGTTGGTACATTCTCTCCGTATTCTTCATCTTCTGTTTCACATTATCTCAGTCTGGATGTACGTGACAGAACATTTGCTTTTCGCTGGCAGCTGCTGAAGTTTTCCTAGATGAGCCCGTTTGTATTTGTTCAGGATGTGTAATCTTTCTTTTTCAAAAAGTGAGTTACTAATTAACTGCCGAATGGGAACAGAATGTAAACCAAGGCAGGGCTGTCTCCCTGCCAGACCTTTTCAGTGCTCTCATTCAGGGCTTCCCGAGTAGCTTCCTAATGTGCCTGCCCCTTGCTGAAGGTGCAGAATAGGGTTTTCCAGTGCTCTGTGCATGCGTGTTTGTTTACCCAGTAATGCCAGCAGAGTATGCAATGCTAGTGTTGCAGTCTCTGGGTATCTTACGTGCTTTGCATGTGAGGGATGACAAGAACCATGTGTGTTTTGGGGACTGTTTCCTCCTCTGTTGGAAAAGAGAAAAAGGTGAAATATCCAGGTGAAAACTAGAGGTGAGGTTTCATAAGAGTGGGGAGGTTCACAGGATCACAGAATGGTTGAGGTGGAAAGGCACCCCTGGAGGTATATGGTCCAACCCTCCAACTTGAGCAGGGCCACCTAGAACAGGCTGCCTAAGACTCTGTCCAGGAAACTTCTGAATATCTTCAAAGTGGGAGACTCTACCTCGGTTGCTCCTTCACGTGGATCTCATCTCCAATCCTGGCTGCTTCCTAAAGCAGCGAGCTGGCAGAAACTACCTCACGTTTTTTAGTCAGCTAAGTGAGTTGAACTGGCTCGCTGGGGCTTGGGTGAGTCCCAGAGCTGAAACAAGGGAGACATCAGGACTGCCCAGCCAAGAGAAGAGGAGGGGGTGCCATCCCCTTCCATAGCAGTAAGCTATTAGATCAGCTTGCCCACCTTGTAAAATGTCACTCAAAGAGGACGAGGCAAAATTGGACTCTAAAGAAAATGGATTTGCTTGTTTGTCTTGTTCAGTACCCTTAAGCCTGTTCATTGTGCAGTAGCAAGATCTGGCACAAAGAAGAGAACAGGAATGCACACAGAAGGAGGGAGGAAGAGCCGCATCAGAGCAGCCCTGACCTAGAGAAGTTCAGCTGCTTTGGAACTGCACCCTTAGTAGTTGCTTGCATTAAAGTACTTCAGCAGCCTTTGAGTGCCATGTAGCAAGGGGAAGTTGAAAAGAAAGGCATTAATAACATGCAATGAGCCAACCTTCCATGGACCACAGGCCAGCTGTTCGCCATCCTTCATTTGCAATCTGTTTCTGGTTTGGTTTGTTTGCTGTTACTTTAGGCTCAGCTGCCCGACGGTGAAATGTAAAAATCTTGAATTTTATTGCTGCTGTGGCTGTTAAGGAGGGGAAGAAGCTTAAAAGGGAAAGGTATTGGAGAACTTTGGAAACGCTAGAAGTGTCAATTTTCTGTCTTGTCACAGTGCAGCAGGAGATTCAGCCCACTTGCAGTATCAAGAAATCTAACAGCTTTTTTCCCTGGCAGGAAAAAACAGAGGGAAGACAACAGAGTTAGGTTCTTCTCCTACTCAACAGTTAAAAATGGATAGACATACACCTACTAGACAAAAGTTGTTGACAAAGATGGAGGCAAAAATGAAGTTGAAGGAGACCTCCCTAGTAGCTTGTCTTGCAGTTAGGATTGACAAGGATCTGAATTTTTCATCTTGACCCCTGATGGGCAGCATTTTCATTTTAATAGCTACGTTCGTTTTAATGGTAAAGCCTTTCAAACCTTATGAATTAAAACTAACACTCAGTCAAAAGTCAGTTGCCTTTTTATAGACACCTCCATTTTAGACAAAGAAATGTCTAAACAAAAACATACACTCAATTTTGTTGCCCACCCTGTACTCGCCAGAGTTGTTCTGTGGCATTTTGCACACACTAATCAAAGTAACTCTGTGTCTGTTTGTTGATACATATTTAATCACTTTTCATTCAGTGAAGTTGCTTAACACACTAATTATATAATTGCCATTTCAAAATACATTTCCTTAACTGGTCTACAAGACAAAATAATGATTCGCACATGTTGAATCTGAAGAACTGTCCTTTTGCCAAAATTGTGTTTGCCACCTAATTTTTCCACTTGTCTTGAACTACTATCACATGGCTGGCATTATGCACTCACCTAGTACAAATGAAATTTCATAGCTTTTTGTTTGCATAATCATCATACAACCCCTGGACCTACACTGCAAGTAAAAACTGAATTTGACATCCTACACTCCTTCATTTTAAAGAAGCCAGGACATCATGATATGTTCCAACAATAGACTTAGAGGAAAATGAAGGAGGTCAGGTTTTATAAGTAATTACAGGGGAAGAGCCAAAATTTATGTACTATGAAATACGGTGGAATAACAAAAACGAGCAATCCCCTCTTTCACCACTTTAGGTTCATCATATTGGTAAAATTTTCCTCTCACTATCTGCTCAGAGTTCAAACAACTTTTCCTTCTTTTGAGTTAGGTCTACACTACATAACCAGCCCTGGTGATGAGCTCGGTGAAGCACTTCTATAAACTTGGACTGTCTTCCAGCACTGCATTCCTATGGCAAACTTCTGTCATCTGTTGTGTCTAGACAACTTACTCACTCATCTGTATGTAGGTAGGCCCATGTTTTTAGTGCTGAAGCACTTTTCTCAGTCTATTGTAGGCAAACTTGTGTCTATTCTGAGCAGAGGTAAGATTACCAGGGCAGTAGTTTTGTAAAGTAATGGAAGAGCCTAAAAGTAGTCATGTGTGCGTCTTCCGTGCAGATTGCAGCAAGTTCCTGTCCAATTTAAAGTTCAGTTCTAAGGTTACTCTCTTACCTATGCTACCTGTGACATGAATCAGTACATTAAAAGTCTGGGTCTCTGCTGAGCATGAGGAAGTGGTGGAGCTATGTTTAGGAGCGCTAAGATTAAACTCAGTTCCTAGACATCCATGGTGCAACAACATCCTGCTTTCTTCCTTGGGTGTTTCTTTAAATACCCCATGAAGAAAGAGCTGAAGACTTACCCTGGCTTGATCACTAGTGGTTTACTTGAGAAAATTATTTCACTCTCCTCTTTTACATGATTGCCATTGATGCCCTGATGGAAAGTGTCAGACATCTTCAGGGAAAAAGGCGTTTATATTTTTTCCTATAACTCATTAACATAGCATCCAAGTCCCTCTCTTGTCTCACAAACTCATTTAGCATACAAGTTTTGTAGTCTAACTAGGTTTCTCAGATAAAGTCAGAACATCCCACTGTTGGAGACAGGAAGGAGTCCCTACCCAGCTTTCTCTTCAAAACATCAAATGCACAGCATCTTTACATGATACAGGAGTTCCTGCACCCCCAGAAGCTCCATATGTACTTGTGTCCTGATTTCATAGCCCTTACAGACAGTCTGTGTTCCAATACTAATGCTTCATTCCAGCAAGATCCTTCACATATGCTGAATGTAAAACTGCTTCCAAGTAATTCACTCTCTCAAGGATCCAGGACTTGAGATAATAAACACTAAAATGGAGGTATCAAGCAAAACCAAAACAGTGAACTCTTAAGTTAAACTTTAAATTTTATACGTATTTCTTCATATTCATTCTTTCTCTTTCCCATCATTGGAGAGACTGTGAGACCTAGTTTTCCACAGATCCTTACGGCTGTACAAATAATTGATTTTACAGTCCAAAATCTCCTCTCTCATCCTTCATCTCCTCAAAAAAACAGTTTGAATTGATCCAAAATAAAGAAAAAAATGCTCCTAGCCAAAAAAAATAATTCATTTTGTGCTTGGGCATTTGTAGTGTAGCTAGGAAAATGGCTGAGATTCACAAAACTGGTGGGAAAGATGATGAATTATTTTACCTACAAGCCCAGTGGTTCAGGCACTCATGCAAGATGCAGAAGATGTGAATTTTATGCTATGCCTTTCCCCATAGGAGCATGAATCCTCTGCAGGAACCTTCGTCATGCTGCAGAGTGGGCTAGGCAGCCACAGGAACACAAAGTGATCACCACAGAGTAGTCCTCTTCTTTGACTCACTGTTCAAACAGTGCACTCGGTAGTGCTGCAGGAGCAGAAGAGTTTGGGGGAATTCTCGTTTTGTAATACTCCACAAGATGATGGCTTGGGTGCTGTTTGGAAAGGTGAAGAGAAAGATTCGAATCTTCCTGGGAGTCAAAGAGCCTTAAGCTATGATTTTCTACAGTCCAGTGTTGACCACCAAATGAACCTTGCCCTTTGGTTCTCACTACAGACGTCCAAAGCTAAGCAAACTGTAGCAGATAACTTCCAAGTTTCTAAAGTTAATTACAGGTGAAATTGCAGAATACCTCTCCCAAGTCTGAGAGCAGATTTAGCTAATGCAAACCTCTATTTTTTCAATGTATATATATTTTTCAGGAAGCCTACACATACCTTGCTCCACGGCCATCCCCATGCCTGCCACCGGTGCATATCCAGCTGGTGGCGGCATTGTCCAAACCTCCCAGCCTTGCGCTCCTCATGGGTGGAATTTGCCACATAGACCCCAAGAAGGGGCTGCCGGGTCAGGTGACAAAGGCAATTCGAGGTAGTAAGATATGTTCAGCTGGGGTCACTGCATTCTCCAGGAGCACCCGGAAAGTTGTCTTCTTCCTCCCTTGTGTAATTCCTCTAAGCATAACCAGCAGGCAATGAAAGCTTCCCTTCCTCAGCATTCAGCTCTCCATCTGTCTGTAAAAGAGCTTTACGTTTGCTTCAGGATTTTTAAAACTTGGTTACATGGCATGCATTCATAAAGGACATCTTGGCCTATGTTTGTATCTCTACTGTCACTGAATCCCTTATATTGGCAGCTTGATAGGGTAAGACAAGTGCCAAAGACTGGATTCTTCATGTACTGAGAGCAGTGGGGCTCTGAGCAGTCCCCATACCCCTGACACCTCATCTGCTTACATAGAAATCACACCTTTTGCTGATACTGGCTACAAAGCTCATGTAATAATATAAACATTTCAGCTAGTTTGCGAGATCATAGAAAGCCTGTTAGTCATTATTTCAAATCATTGGGCTGTTCAGCAAGCCAGTCCTATTTCAGACTACTCCCTAAGCAGTTCATACTTTAACATTGTTTTGAATAATTGGGGTAATTCTTTCTGTCACAGCATGCTGTATGAAATTATGAATTGAGGAGATTTCTGTGTTGTTGTATATGATTCAATACCCCGTTGTCATTTATGCAACGTGGTACAATAATACACGGTCAGTCATTTAGGGGACAGCTGGACGCACATGAAGCTTTGTTCATGTGAGAGGGACTTCCCAGGGTGCCACAGTACATCGATGTAGATAATGCTGCAGGACCTGGGACTTGATTTTGGAGTGTGCTAGAGAACAAGATCATTCTTTCAAATTAAATAAAAAATAAACAGCAATCAGTGTGTAGAATTTCTTTTGTCCATGCTTGTGAGGAAAATGATAGCAAAGAAAAAAACTGGAAAGGAATTTTTGCTGTAATTTTCTAAGTTGCAGAATAGTTAAGCACAAAGATACAGGTTTGCGAAGGAGTTAAGAAAATTAAAAGGAGGCATCAAACGTTGGCTTGACGCAAAAGTGCTTGAAGCTCCCTTTGCCCTTAGAGAACAAAAATATTAGTGCAGAAGTCTGGCATGCTGGCAAAGCTGCAACTTAGACATGTCAAACTACTTTGAGAAAACTGGCAAAAAATTGCTTTTTTTTTCCCCCTCATTTAAATAAACTGGATCTTGTGGTGGTTTTTGTAACTTTCCTGATAAGTAACACTTAAAACTCTTTTGATCAAATACACTTTCTCAGTCAATTACACAGCCTTAATTTAGAGGCCAGTTCAAATGATTGCTTGTTACCTTCTTTTAGCAAAGGTTCAACTGCTGCAGTTTTCTGATCCTTTTAAAAAAGGCAAAGAGGGAGAGTTTACACAATAAAAGTTCTTTTTTTTATTCTTAAATTAATTATTTTGAAATATCTCATGGATTACATCAGTTTCTTGCTTGCATTCATGTTGCAAGATGGCGACTATTGTATATTGCTAGTGATGCATTAAATTAGTTGTTTACATTATAAAATCTAAACATATTAGAATCTTTTGTGTTTGTCTTCAAAGATTCCTATTCTAATAAAGCTTTCTGAAACAAGTAAGGTTGTCTTTTTTGTTTAGTTAATGCATCAGTGGAGAACCTAAAGATTTGTAGCCTCTAGCCATCCCTGTCTGTGTTTAGTAGAGTGTAAGGAAATTGTGTTTGGGACAATACATATTTTCGTTTGAAATGGAGTGCTATACTTTTAAATTAATCATTTTGCATTTAGAAAAGGTAATACCTGAGCCAAATTTTTAAAGAGTGGAAATCCTCTCTTCTCAAAGACTGTGTTTTGCTGAGGCTTTTAATTGGAGTAAAAGCAGCCTGTACAGTGTACTGAAAAAAAGCTTTGGACTCCATCCTTCCTGTTTCTGATGGCTGTGTGTTTCTCTTCAGGTCAGAGTTTCTGAGGGTTAAGTGATACAAGAGCAACATTCAGTAAAGAACAGTATTTGGGATTTTAAAGAAACCCTGCAATTTGGACTCTGCCTTTTGCTCTGTAACAAATGTTTTCACTGAGTTGTAATGAAATGTGAAAAAGAAAAGCAAAATGCTGACAGCTTTAATATGGCTCGAGCTGCCCTGTGAAAGTAATTTCCACCGTTGAGGGAAGTTTATGAATACATTTTTAGCAGCAAAGGAGCTCTTGAGGAGTCAGCTGAGCAGCGTGGCAATGAGTGTTCACACTTTCCCCTCAACACACTCCTTTGACGTGCAATACGCCTTACTTCTTCAGATAGAGGAATGGCGACTTTAATACACTTTATAGGCCGTACTGCTTCTGCCTTATGAATCTGTGGTTTAATATCTGTAGATGTACATCTTCCTCTCTTAAGAGTGATGCCAAGTCACAAGAAAACAGCAGGACTTTATTTACCTCTCAAAAACCAAAATAGCTTTCATTAAGCCAATGACGGAATAAAATTGTCACAGTTATACTTTATATTAACAGAAGTCACTGAAAGAAAGAGTGGCAAGCTAAGTGTTAACTTCAGAAGCAGATTGTTTTCTGTGTACAAGATATGCCTTTTAGGATAATAAGCCCAGAGTGCTTCATATCTAAATAGCCTCTAGAACATGCAGCAATATAAGAAGCACCGAGTTATAGTAAGGCTTGGGAAATGTGACAAAATAAGCAGTGGAACGACGAGAACAGTACTGAAACCAGTTGGAAAAACAGGAAGTATAGAATTTGATGAAATTAGGAAATATCTTAAGGAACATCTTGTTTCTAAACAGTGAGAAAAATGATAAGAAGTAAACTGGCTATTTTCAATAAACCTTCAACTTCAGACAAAAAAGCTGTCATTAAAATGTACTCAAGACTCTTCTTATTAAATTAAAAAGTGTAGCATTTTAAAGTGAGGTGTAAGATTAAAAAAAACCAAAACCCCCAACTAATATATTCTTACTTGCTTGAAAGACTTTTTTAATGAAAGAAAGCATGAGAAGGTATGAAACAGTTTGATGTAACAGCCCGCCAGAAGTTGTTTCAAAGGTTATCACTTGCTGAGATATTTAGGCAAGACGTGTTCCATCAGCAGCCTGAGGACAATGCCAACAGGATTGTAGCACTCATCTGGACAGTTTCACTAAAGTTAAAAGTTAATCATGAAGCTTCAAAAACAATATGGACTGTGATCCAAAGCCTGAAGTACAAATTAAAGCCTAGAGAGAAAAATCAATGGCCACATTTCAAATATACCCTCTAATTCTTGGACTTCTGATTTGAGATAGCTTACACTACCGTATTCAGAAACAAAGAGCACCCACAGCTTTTAAACGGGTGCATGTTTTATCTTTTGCAAGAGCTTTACCCACTCAGTTTATAATGATACCGGGTGAGTAGCCACACCACTAATTCGTTAAGAAATTGTGACCAAATATCCTCACCCTGCAAATATTTTCATATTCAGACAGGGCTGCATATGAGTAGTCCCATTAAATCACCCGATGATTGGTCTATGCAAAGGTACAGACAATCAGAAATGCAAGTTCAACTGCTGTGAATGCAGGTTGATCTGTGTTGAAGTACCAAGCGTAGCTACATTGCCTGGTTTTAGTATCCTAACTTTGTTTTGGCTGGGATCTTGTCTAAGCGCATGAGAGTAAAACACAGTGTGTCTGAACACAGTCATACTAAGCACTGATGTTCCTACAGTTAGTTTTTAATGTCCATCTGCATGAAAGCTGCAGTTTCCAGACATATCACAATAATTATAGTAAAATGAATAATTTGTATTTTGAACACCCTTTTTCTATTTTCTTTTACAAGTCATTGTAGCTGGTATTTTCATGTCCATTGCCTCCTGCTGGCTAAAAGTGATTGAAGGGGCAAATTTTGTTCATGGTTTCAGAAAAAGAGGTGTAGAGAAGTATAGAAAAGTAAAGGCTCATTGCTGGAATCACAGGAATTCATGATGCATCTGCGGGGTTGTATCTTGAGAGCCACAGTGAAGCCGTAAGAGAGCCATAGGTCCCTTTTGGGTAATGCCTCTTACTTCTCTCCTAGAACTCTCTTCTAAAACCTTGTTCCAGATCACAAATAATTTTATAATTGAGAGAGCAGCAGCACAGAATTTCAAAGAATGGTGTTCGATTTATGGTTTGAGCAGGAGTGCAATTTTGACAGGGATGGTCTTTATCAGATGGAACAAGCCTCTAGGGTGTTATAGAATCATAAAATGATAGAATGGTTTGGGTTAGAAGGGACCTTTAAAGGTCATCTAGTTCCAACCCCCCTGCAATGAGCAGGGACACCTTCCACTAGACCAGGTTGCTCAGAGCCTCATCCAGCCTGGCTTTGAACACTTCCAGGGATGGGGCATCTGCCACCTCTCCGGGCAACCCATTTCAGTGCTTCACCACCCTCACTGTAAAAAATTTCTTCCTTATATCTAGTTGGAATCTGGCCTTTTTTAGTTTAAAACCATCACCCCTTGTCCTATCACAACAGGCCCTGCAAAAAGTTACCTACTTCTGCATTCCCAATCACATTCTCCATTTCAGGTAGAAATTAGAAGGTAAGCAAGCCAAGTTGCCACCTAAAAGAGGTATAGGCAGGTGACATGCTTTGGTTTCCATTATACAAAGAGGTCAGAAAAGTCCTTTCAGGTCTTGAAAGGGACAGTGGTTGTATGTCGATGTAGTGCATTGGTGCCGGAAACTTGCTAAAGAGACTGTTTCAGAGTTTGCAACTGAAGCTTCTCTCACATTCCTCATCTGGCAGAAGAAAGAAAAGGCTCAATATCACTCTTACTCTATTGTAGTCTGAGAGAAGTTGTGCACCTTTCTTCTTGACTGCTCTTCCTCTACCTTTCACAAGATCTTGGCTTTGTCTTCGTCTCTTACTTTTGACATGTATTCCCACAAATCTCTCTCCTTGTAGGTACTGCTAGTCCACTGTTAAGTTACCCACACCATCTCTCATAAACAGAACTTAAGCTTAATTAGTCTTGAAATACAGGGAGATTTT